TATGAAAGATGCTACGATACGCCGATTTGTGTACCGCTACAGTAAACATCAAACGGCCCCAATTGAATCTGGGCCGATTTGACAATGATGGATATCCGGTAGTGTTTGAATTTTAATTTTTTTCTACAAATTCAAATCGCTTGAAATTTTAGACGTCTGTTATTAAAAAATAGGTGAATCTACGAAAAATATCAAAAAATATTTTACATGAAATAAATTGACCAAAATAGCCACGAAAAGTTTTGGGGGCATTTGGTCAAATTTGTTCCGCGAAATAATTTTTTTATATTTTTATTAGGTGAGCCTTGATGAGAAGAACACACACCTAAAATTTCAAGTGATTTGGATTTGTGAAAAAAAAATTAAATTCAAACACTCTCGGACAACCATGACCGTCAAATCGACCGAGATTCGATCTGGGCCGTTGTATATATATATATATATATATATATATCACATGGATTTAGAAAAAAATGATTTATGCTTTGAGATAGTTGAGAAAATTTCAAAAAAAAGAGAACAATATAATAACAAGGCATATGGCAAGAAAACTCACAACTCACTGTAAAAAAATCCAAATTAAACACATAATTTTTATACGTTTGATGCAAGACAATATGTGTCTTATTTATTTTTCTTAATAAATTTTTAAGGATGTATTTTTGAAATTTTCTAGGTCTTTTTTTAGGGGTCTTAAGTTTTTTTTAGAGATTCCCGAATTTTTTATAGTTTTTTAGGATTTTTGAAGATATTTAGAAAAGTGAATAAAATACTTATGGAGTTACTTGTTTTATTAGGGGTAAAAATGTCACTATAAATTTTATTTGAAGGGACTTAGGATATTTTTATAATTTTTTAACTTAAGTAGGGGTAGTTTTGGTCTTTTTATCATAATGTAATAAAATAACCTTGGGTGCTCGGGTTTCAAACACTTTTGGGACATGAACAGTAAAAACAGATTGTAAATAATGTCAGCAAGCTCTACGGTTTGAGGGTCACTTTTTTGTGCAAAGAAAACCAGATCCACACAAATTTGGCTTGTTTTGATGGTTTATTGAATTGTTTTGTTTATTTTCTTCCTGCATCAAATTAGTATCAAAGCCTAGGTTGTCTTCAACAAAAAAGCTAAGAATCTACAACAAGTCTAGGGTTTGCTGATTTTAGGCCACGTTTCACCAAATCAGCCTAGAATTTGTTGGTTTCAGCTAGGTTTTGTTGGTTCTTTTCCTAGGGTTTATGATTTTGGTAAACCTATGGCAGCAAGAAGAGGTCAAGACAAGGGTATTCATATAGATCCACCTCATGATGAGCGAGATCAGGAGACAGAGTATTTGAGACAACAAGTTCAAAAATTTACAAGGTGACTTGCAAGCATCTATCTTAGGTGAGATGAAGTTTATCCGTCCAAGATGATCTTGCATACAACTTTTTTCACTATTGTGCTCCGTTGGATGAGTCGAGTGAAGAGGAATATGATTGGAGGTATGGACGGCACTCAAAATCCATAGATCCAAGAGTAGATATCCCTAATTTTGAAGGCAAGTCGCAGTCCAATGACTTTATAGACTGATTAATCATAGAAGAGAGAGAAAAAAACAGTGAGGATTATTGCAATTAAATTGAAGAAAAGTGCTTCGGTATGGTGGGAATAGCTGAGAGCAAGGTGAGAGAATGGGAAAGCAAGAAGATGAAAAAGAAATTAAAGAAAAAGTAACTACCTGAAGATTATTCACATTCTTTATACCAGAAAAATGCAGTTGTTGAGCCAAGGAGATAAGCGGAGAATGAGTACACATATTAGTTTCACCTTTTGACTGCCCGTAGTGATGTGATTGAGTAGGAGGAGCAGTCCATTGCCAAACATGTGAATGGACCGTGCCAATCAATTTAAGATGTAGTAGTTTTGCAGCGGTGTTGGACCCTTGATGAAGTCTATAACCTAACAAAGAGGGTTGACACTCAGCAAAAATGACCTCAAACAGGGGGGGGTGCAAGTGGGAGTGATGGGGGAAATAGGGCAGTAGCAGTGGTGGTGATTTTGGAAGAGAAGGCAGCATGACTGGTGCTGGTTCGGCACATCGCACTGCTGGAACAGCCAACCAGTAAGGCGCCCGCGATGAAAAGGGCATTTCAGGGGTCGGGCGATCCAAAAGTGCTGGCAGTAACATCAAGTGCTACAAGTGTTTGGGGATCATGTATGTCTCATCACATTGCCCAAATTGCTGGTTCATTAACCTTTCTGAGGAGTTCTATAATGAGGACAACAAGCATTATTTTGAAGGTGATCCCATCTACAAAGAGCCGGTTGATGAAGAGGACCCGGAAGTGACCTATAGTGATTATGGGGAGGCATTGGCGATCCGGTGCAGCATGATTACACCCCGAGTAGTAGACGAGGCAGATTGGTTAAACTTGAAGAATTTCTCATCAATTTGCTTCCAAAATCAGGAAGGCATTAATTGGGACTCCCACCGGTTTTTATGAGTGTTCAGATGAAGAAGGCAGTGATCCAATTTTTCATCAAGAACCAGGTGACAATGGTCAAGATGAAGATGAAGTAGTTTTGGAAGAGGAAGTTGTTGATTTGATTAGTGTAACTAGGGGTTCAAGATGATCATCTTGAAGATGCTCCCTTGGTTTGTTCTAGGGCTTAATCAAGGCAATTTTAGCATGGTTTAATGGCTGCATTTATGCAACTTCAGCTAGTTAATGTGACTGAACCAAGTGTACATATCACAGTTATTCCATTAACATATAATGACCCTTTCCTCGATGGGTTCTCCAAAGTGTTTATGGATATATCGACCGATTGCAAAGTCTCAGTTTCAGTGAGTACAATAACTCACAAGTACCGGGATTGTGTTTTCAGTATTGGGGTTGGAGATTGTAAGATTAACACAAAATTTATCTTAGCTTATCTCAGAAGTGTTTTCTCCAACCAAGGGAGAATGATGCAAGACAAAAAGTGCCTTCTTTTTTAATTTTTCTTAGTAAAAATTAGGGATGTATTTTTGAAATTTTTTAGTGTTATTTTTTAGGGGTTTTAAGTTCTTGTAGGGATTCTATGATTTTTTATATTTTTTTGGATTTTAGGAGATATTTAGAAAAGTGGCAAAAATAGTTATGAAGTTACTTGTTTTATTAGGGGTAAAAGTATCACTTTGAATTTTATTTTAAGCGAAGGGACCTATGGGGTATTGTTATAATGTTTTAATTTAAGTGGGGGTAGTTTTGATTTTTTACCATAATGTAATAAAAGGACCTGGGATGTTAGGGTTTCTAACACTTTTGGGACATGAACAGTAAACAGATTGTGAATAGTGCCAGCAAGCCCTATCTATGGGTTTTTTTAACGAAAATACACCTCTCTAAGGTATGTTTTTCTTTGTTTTGTTGTCACGATGGACCAACTTCATTAGAGACTAGGAGCCAGTCTGACACGATGGATTAGCTTCAATAAGGACAAAAAACAAAGAGAAAAGTGTATTTAGAAAGGGATATTTTTGTCAAAAAGAGTTTGGCGGGTGGCATGCCTAGACAGTTGGGTTTGGGGTGGTTTTCTAATTTTGACTTACAAATAAGATCCTTTCAGTTTATATAAAATCAGAAATATGACTCATAGGAGCAACCCATGTCTTCAAACCAATATTCTTGGAATGGATCCTCTAGGTTTAACACCATTCCACTCAATATTTTCAACAATTTTTATGAGAGACATTTAAAGCTTAACTCATTTCCCATTACCAAGCATTCAATAAGAGCCAGATGGAAAGCATAAGATGGACAAGAATATGTATGTAAAGGATCATGCAACATGCCAAAATATTACCTCTGTTGGAGACAACACATCCTGCTCCACAGACCGTGTTGAGGTAACCACCAAATTGTCCTGCCAGTTGCTGGCCCGACTTTGGATCCTAAGTTGCCACTCTGAGCCCACCAAAGCCAAATCCAATGTCGGGTCTATGCCAAGATCAGGCTCAAATTTCGCTATATTTGGATGATCACGTTTAATCCTCAACTGCCATATAACATGCCAACATAAATGTCAAATGGAGGGAACACAACCAATTAAAGAGATAAACAACAAAAAGGAAAACGAAAACATAATAGTTTTACAGGTAATAGTCAACAGAAAACTATCCCACTTGCCTGAGTTGCAAACAAATTCACTTCTCCATTTTCAAATGTCAAAATTCCTTTAGGCTTTATATCTCTAGGATCGGCCAAACCATTAAGCTCCAGTTCCCCACTAACAGCAAAGTTCATAATTAAAGGATATACTATCCTCAACTCTGGTCCAAGATGAAGCTTGAGGTCACTTAGTCGAGCATCAACTATCGGACTAGCAATTGGACTTTCCAACTTTTTTTCAACTTTAGCGTCTCTACCTGCAAAAAGTCGATTTCAATTTATATGTTCACAATCCATAAGCTTGAGGTCACTTAGTCAAGCATCAACTATCGGACTAGCAATTGGATTTTCCAAACTTTTTTTCAACTTTAGCATCTCTACCTGCAAAAAATCGGTTTCAATTTCTAGGTCCATAATCCCTAAGGCTTCCACGTACGTACGCACGCACGAAAACAAAGCGCGTGCACGCATGCACACACACATGCATGCTCGTACATGCATAGACAATGACAACTCTTTTTCCCTTGATGCGCATTGCTGTTACAAAAGTACCTTTTCAGAGTCCTGGAGAAGTTGACATCGTGTTTAAAAAAGCTTGGGCTCTGACTCGCCAGGTTCTCTAGCCAGAGTCAGAGGCAGACTCAACTGAGTTGGGCTGCCCAAGTGGGCCGAGTCAAGACATAAACTATCTCTGACTCAGGTTAGATTCATTTAATTTTTTGGTTAGTCATCTGGAGCCAGCACCCTGCTGGATCCGAATGACTTGGGCGAGTCCGAGACCGAGTTCAATCACTGGGTTGACATATAAATGACTTTTCAGATATATTGGATCACATGGAATTTCCAGGTCTCTCCCCCATTGAGATATCCTCACTTAGGATAAAATGATTGGACCATCAATAATTCAGAGCAATATGTGCAATTAATAATTTTGTTTTGGGGACAAATATTTTCAATAAAATGATCTATGGTTAGCTTGGACTAATAAAATAAAGTTGTTTAAAAGAAATAAGATTTAAAAAACATTGATAACACAACGCAGTGGTTTGTTCCTGTTTTATAATTGTAACAGTTGTTGTAATAAAGGAAAAAAATGATGTCTTGCGAAAAACAGGAAAAGTGGCAGAAAACACAGAAAAAAATGGAAGAAGGAGATTATAATGGCAAAATATCTCAAAGAATGTAATGTTTGTACTTATGTCTAGATTTTTTTTTCTATTATAAAGACCATTTTTTTCTGTTATAAAAACCTCTCTTCTTTTTTCCTGTTATGACTGTTATATACAATATTTTTTCCAAAAAAAAATTCTTTTATAAAAATTGGAGAACCTGCTCTCTGAACAGCCCGTATTGCCCGCTCCTCCCTTTGGAGACAGCCAGAGCCAGGCCAAGTCAAACTCAACTTTGATGGGTGCTCTCTTGGCAACCCAGGCCCTGCAGGTATTGGCGGTATCTCCAGAGATACTGAGGGGGCCACACTCTTGTTCTACTCTCTCTATGCCAGTATAACAAACTCCACGATAGCCGAAGCTCTAGCCCTTCTCATGGGTCATCAACATTTTACCACCACTCTCAAAGAATGTGATAGCATGGGCCTCTAGAGCATCCCAGTGCCCTTGGAGATTGGCTCGCATCTTTGACGAGATTTTCCACATTTGCATGGTTACGAGTGTGGTCTAGCAGACACCTAGAGGGAGGCAAATGCCGCGGCCGACACCCTTGCTAAGGAAGGCACCTCTCAGCCAACCTCGCAGGAGACATTTGATCACCTTTTTTGAGAAAAGCATACACTGTTCACTAATATACTTAATACTGCAAAGCTTGTATAGCACTTTTTGGGCCCTGTAAGGGGTTTTTTATTCTAGACCACCCGGTTGGTGGGAGGTTCATTTTTTGTACAACTCCCATATCAATACAGTAAACATTTTCAAAACATAAAATAAAATTGGAAACCCGTTATAACATCCACTACAAAGAAACTAATAGCCATTATTTTTGTGTAGGAACGTTTTTTAACTGCCTACCTGTTGCCCTCATATAACACATGTAGGGGGCATTTCCTAATGGCCGCTTTTTAAACCTTGCAAAAAATATCAATTGACAAATTGGAAATACATGATTACCACTTGTATCACAAGTGATTACTATCCAACCGATGGCTTGTACATAAAAAACAGTATAGGAAATACACACACACACAAATAAATTCCCCCAAAAAATGGTTTGGAGAGGAAAAAATAAAATTTGATTTTACTAGCATGGCTCCTTTTTCCTTGCAGGAGCAAACGCTTCTCTTGTTTCCCAGGAGAAGAGAGGAGAGTTCTTTTTGAAGAGTACAGAGAGGGTGGATAAATGGGTTCAGAGTAAGACCGACCCCAATAAGTTCTTTAACAATTAAATTTCATGGAAAATGCTCCTGATGGATGGGAGATTTACAATTTAGATGGGAGGCTTACAGTATAAATTTCGGATACTTAAAATCCAAACTTAAAGGACATCTGAGTAGTCTTGTCAAAAGACACAATGCCTTGAATTGATTGGATTATTTTTCCAGGGTTTACAACTAATGAGGACTAACCTGCGGTGATACTTATAATTTGAACAAATAATATTTCTTGGTTTAAAACAATCCACTGTTCATGTCTTCTACTATATTTATGTTCAATTCAAGTATTTGTTCTGCTGAATATAATCCAATAAGCAGTCATTTTTAATAATTAAATGGCTAAGACAGGTCAGGCTTTGGACCTTCTACTCAATCACCAGAAAGAAAATGCATTGCATCTGCAGATGATGAGAAATTGCACAGGTACACAGAAAGAACTAACAGATCAGACCTCACTGAGAACTATCATAATGCAACCCAATCAAACAAAAAATGTGGCACTGAACAAAAACAAGAAAAAATACAATACCTGATGATTGAGAAAGTTTCGTGAGTGGAGCTGCAGGTTCTGTACCAAAGAAATGCGAAAAATTTCCTGAAGCAGCCTGTAGACTCTTTCCACCGAAGCTTGAGCGATTTGATGCCAGTCTATTGATTGCAGCTCCCGTACCCTTGTCATGAGGTAAATATGCCTCTCCATGGCTCAGTTTAATCATGCCAGAAACATTTGGTTGCATTATGGAACCAGTTATCTGCATCTGACTGTCGACCTGGCCACTGATTTTAAGTATAGCACTGGTAAGATTAATTACTAAAACAAAAGAAAATCTACAGAGCCAATTTAAAAACTAGCAAAGACAACACAAATGGATGTAAATTTGTATAGCAACAGCATGGACGAAAACAAAATTTGCATAAAGGAAACTCATAACATAAGGAACTATTAGATGGGAAAATTAAGAAAAAGATGACAGCCCAATAATAAGGTAACCGGAGATTTTCTGCAATCACCTGAAGATATTCTTTGCCCGTACTTCTAGAACTTCACATTTCAAATCAATTTTATCTCCAGGCAACAATTCACTAGTTTTTAGCGGCAGATTCCCTTTAACCATTAGCTTCCCCTTTCTGCTCACACGACCCTCTAAAGTATTGATACTTAGCCGATTAGATTTCACCTGAACAGTGCCCCCAAAATTTGCAAGGGGTTTTGGTAGCACCGGAGAGGAAACAGATGCCCTGTGAAACGACGCACTTCCATCAACTATTGGTTGTTGTACGGTACCTCGGACCTGATTCAAAATGCAAATTTCTACTGAGATAGCATGCCAACGATCAAGCAACTTGATTTCAAACAAAAAATTAATGGAAGGGCATGTCATAATTGTCCAACGAGTGTGATGGAGAGGGTCATGGTCCTGTCTAGCGCTGGTAGGCCCGCTCTTCTCTCCATCACTGTCTAATCCTTTACCCATGGACTATGGTTTTCTAAATGGTTTCATATATTAAAGTATACAAGATATATTGATTGCATGTGCTGTTTAGCTCTGGTGGTTTCTTAGATTTCTAAATGGTTTTCTCTCTCTCGCTTTTGCATTTTAATTTTAACTTTAAAGGCCAATTCTGTGGTGGAAATAGCAGGGGAAATCGAAGAAACAAACTTAAGTGAGGAACACGAATGATGCCATTCAAGGATAACAAGACTTGTAAGGTATTAATTTTTTGAAAAGTCTTGTACGGTTTTATTTATGATCCTTAAACATCGGGATGGGTGAAACAACATGTATTAAGTGAGCATGAATAGGAACCTCGTCACCAAGGCTACAACAAAGCATTACAACTTCAGGGTTTTGCAGCTAAGAAGAAACTTTAAGAGTTCACTATTCCTTCTTTATATTTTGAAGTATGAAGGAGAAATAGTAGCATCACTATATCTTACTCAAAATGAACATGTGAGTGTATGTAGATTGTGTATGCATGTGGATCGATCCAATTAGCATGAAAACATGTTCTAAACAGCTCTAACTCATAATATTTCAGATATAGCATAAGCGTCAAACCTCAGAAACTCTTTTGAGCTTTAAATACCTGTAAGAGTATATCAGCATTGCCATGAAGCCAGTGTGCATGGGGACATAAGGCAGTTAAGAGCATCATGCCACCATCTTTGATGTCTGCATTAATTTGTATATCACCCACGTCTAATATATTCCAATCCAAACCAGAGAGGCTCTCAGACAAGTAAGCCTCCCAACCTTCTTTAGTCTTGTTTCTACCAACCATCAAATCACCAAGTTTATCCTGATTGGCTCCTTTAAGAGTTTCTTTCATCAAACCTGGGGCCCACTTCGAGTTGTTTGTATATCCCTCAGTTTCTTCTCTGTCTAATGCCTCATTTTGGAAAGAAGTTAGGGGAACACTCCCTTGAATGTGCACGTGACCACTTTGAATGGCAGGTTCAAAGTTGGCAGTGAAAATAAAACAACTTTCTGATGTAATGGAAGCAACAATTTCAGCTCGCCCCAGATCAATCCCCCCTACAGCTCCATCGAGAAGCCTTACTTGCACGTCACACTGCGGCCTTCTAAGGCTTCCTCTAAGATCTCCTTCCATGTGTAATATTCCCTTGACAGGAGTAAACAATGCCCAGGAAGAGTGTAAAGGATCTGCAGTAGATGACTCTATAACCTGAAGAAGTGTGGGAACAAGGTCAATTGGGAAGTTTAGAACAGCAAAATGGAGATTGGTTTTCGGGCCCAGCAAAGTTCCATCAGCATGAATAGTTGCATCATCTCTTTGAATGAGAATTTTCTCAAGCCGCAGGCCATCGTTATTGCTATATGCCCCAGCTGCAAGAACCCGTTGAGCTTTGTAGGTTCCCCATTCCCAATCTTGGCCGTGGAAATCAAAGTCAGCCTGCAGGGTTTTACTTGGGTTAATGCTCATGGCAAGACAAACACGAAATACAGGAAGGCCACAAACATAAAGGCGAAGTACCTCACAACAAGCAAGAAACTAAAAAACTGGACTACAGTAAACACGGGTGAGACAAAAATAGCGTAAAAAAATTACGAACAAAGTAAGAAACCATTTGTCTGTGAACACTAATCAATCTATTTCCTTTGCAGACTGTTCATGAATCTTCTAAAATTCAATAAATTGAATTATATGTCAATAGAAGACATGCTCTGCAAAAGTAAGGGAATTAGGAATTAGGGGCGCTTTTGTAACTATAAATGATTATGTATAGATGGAGAACGGGCTTTAGGCAGAGGTGGTAGGGTTGGGGGGTGCCGCAACGTGACTTCTAGAGTTCCATTCTCACCAGGTCCCAAGTTAACAATAATAAATAAATAAAAATGCATATATGCTGTCCATAAGGAGAGATTAGTCACATGTATACATGCCGTACATGAGACTCAATCCCCCTTTTCTTATTAAAACAGAAAATCACTAGAGACATCCATCCATGTACATGTATATCATGAATACATCAACATGCATACATGTCACTGTACATGCACATCAAGAGTACATCAACATGCATGCATAGACGAGCTTGCATACATGTCTTTTAAAACAAAGTAGTTGGTTTTCACTCCCAAAGTATGGACTATGGAACCACAAAATGGGCACAAGACAAACAATCCACTTCCGAAAATATTTTACTTGAAGAATCTTCTGCTTCCGAGATTTCGTGAATATTAACAATGCAAGGATATTGAAAACGTACAGTGCTGTCCCCATTGCCACCTCCTTTGGCATCAAGATAACCATGCCAATATCCCTTGAGCTCTGCCAGACCTGGAAGACTAACATCTTCAAGGATAGCCTCATCTAAAGAAACATACTGCTGCCGTATTGCCTGCAAAACCACAAGATACTCCAGATTCTGGAAAAACCAAAAAACCTATGCTCGAAACTAGAAATGACAGGCATGTGGAAATTTTTGTGGGTCCCATCATCACCGGTTTTATAAAACATGTCGAGATAATTCAAAGTAAATAGCCCAAGACATTTATGCAAAGCCACATTGTGCGCCAGCAGGACAAATGGTGCAGGTAAGAAGATATCTTGATGAGTTGAGTACCTCTAGTTGCTCTCGGAGGCTTTCTGCCAAGAACCCAGCACTTTGTAAACCTCGCATAAAAAGATCCTGCAAAGTAATACCGCAATCTTTGTGAGAGATCAACATAAACTGTTGGTAATAATCCAAAATAGAAAATCCTTACAACATTTCACCAAGCAAATGTTAATGCAGGAAAGATCTTTTTAGTAATAATTCGCTGATTTCAAGCGTCTTTTCATGTACCTAAGTACAAAACCAAATAGCACTTCTTATTTCAATGATAACCACTGGTACAATCAAGAATTAGATATGGCTATATTACATAATCTAAAGGCATGTGTAGCTTGTACATAAAGATAAAAAGGCCTGTACACCTTTAAACCAAGATTTTCCACCTTCTAGTTACATATAATGCAAAAATGACATATATTCCTCTAAACATTTGTAAGGAAATGTCATATGAGCAACATAGAAGAGAAAATTTTGTCATAATTTATGGGACATGATACTCTGATAAAAAGGACAATTTTAAGATATACGGCTGACAATTTATTAGCACGAATGTAATGCCCTTATCTTCAGAGATTCTGTTGGTTGAAGGATCTAAAATCTAGAGTTGGGTTAACAGGTGAGGAAGAGAAAGCACTTAACTCTTGAAAATACAACATTTGATGCTTTCAGTTTTACATTAAAATGGCATTAAAATGTGTATAAGATGTCACATGATACCCAATTCAACAGATGGCAAATGGCCTAAAACTCTGTCTGTTTACTGGATGTTGATAGTAACATATATAACTTGCTCTTTCAAATGATTACAGAAGAGGATAAAACTTAAGAATCTCCATATAAGTTAGTACATAGTCAGGTAATCAATCCAATTTATATCAGCATTAAGCAGTACTACAAATGTTAAAGCTGATGCAACGAGAAAACTTTTTCCGGAAAATGTTAAATCTAACTGTTTGAAGCACAACAATCATAACATTACAGATCAATAAAACTGGTAAAGAAAATTCCCCTACCAGATCAATGTACAAACTCTTTGGAACAACCATAACAAAATAAAATCGCTAGCACAAGATAGCAAGCCAAAGGATTAGCAATATATTTAGTTTAGTTGATATGTGTCAACACCATATTTAGCAGATAGCAACAATTATTTCTGATCATGAATTGGTTGTGTCCCAATAGCTACTAAACAAAAATAGTTTGAGCAATCCATATCTATTAACTCAACATTCAAAAGCTACAAAAACAAACACGATAGTCTACAACAAGAATTCTTCTTATAAATAGCAGTAGACATAGACTAAAAAGAAAATGAAATGGTGCAAAACGGCATGTGTAAATATGATGTTGGATTCATTCTTCAACCTAAATTAATATCTTACTTTAGATCGAGAGCGAACTGCAGGGTCACTACTTCGAGAAAGAAGCCGTGCAAGTGGCAGCATTTCAGCAACTTCTGCACAAGGAACTTCTAGTCTCATTCGCCACCTTCCCATAGAAGAAATCACACTTCCCAGATTACCAGCCATTGCCCGTTTCAATAAGCCATCCTTCTCTTCAGCTCCAGCATGACGATCACGAATGCCAGGCAAGACATACTCACCCTGGAGTTCATATCTGCTAATGGCCTGCTCTAGCACACTTTTCTCTATAGTGATCTGAAAAAAGGCAAACCAACTTATCATTTTCAATATACAGCCGAAGAAACTCATGCACAAAACATCTAACAAAAACCCTAGTTTTATATATACTCAAAGGAAAGAATTTGTAAAGAAAGAGAATCCTCTGAAAGAAATTTGAATTTTAAACTAACAAATACTAAGCTAAATTAATCAACTTCACGCTAAGGATCTAACAATCAAATGGAAAGCTGATTCACAGAAAACTTCACATGAATAAAAATGAACAAACAGTTAGGTCATTGTCATTGTGTTGATTCTTTAAGTTTTCATCAGTTCCAGCTTCCATTATGTGGAGGCAGATTTTTTCTTTTTCACCAATTAGTAAATTTTCAGGCACGATATCCCATGAATCAAAATGCTCTACCCAACCCAAGCTAAGCTGAGCCACCGTTACCAATTAACACCAAATTTCTTCAAAAATGTATGTGAGACAGCAGCTAGAACATTGAATCCAATTTATCATAAATGCCTCCAACTCAATGACCAGAGAAACTCAAAGCAGGCTTTCATTGATTTGCATGAAGTACAACAAATTGTATAGTACAACATATTAGTGATATCCCATCACAGTTTTATTTGCTCCCTCCAAGAGTGAGAAACCCAAACATAAACAAATGGAAGCAAACATGGAAAAAATGTTTAATCAGCATATCATAGCACCTTTTTTTGAATTCATTTCAATTCTACATTCCTTGTACCTTGTATTTACAATATACTTAATATATAGATAATAATAATAGTACTTTACTTATCCTTTCTTTTCTTTCTTTAGAGAATAATTCCAAATAAAATATTAAATAGAGGCACACGTTTTATGACAGATTTCAACTTACCCTCTATTTTTGTGCCTTTAATAGGCCTGTTCTTTCCGACAATTGCAATGGCTTCTTTATTTCTCCATGTTCAAAGAAACAAGATTGTCTAGGGACCAAATCTCATCAATTTATTTCAATCATTAGATTTTAATACAGATAAGATAGCTGTTTAGTTTAGTGGAAGAGGAGGGGGAGGACAACATAGCTCCGGACGCAAATAAAAGAGTTGTTATCCATTGTTATCCATGTAAATAGATGATATATGGATAAATGAATATGTATGCGAATATAGCTGTTTGAAATTTGGATCGAATTTTTGCAATATAATCGAAATATATAACTATAAATTAGATTAGAAATAGAGATTCTTATATATGTAGAACTTAATCATTTTTGCATTTCAAGCACCGAATTTTAGAACTCGGCATAGCACAAAAAATTGCCTGGAGCAATCTTCAATACAAGCATAATCCCAACGTTTTGATCAGCCATTGAGGAATGGTTTACGATGTATGGAAAAATGTAGAGCTTGCTTCAAATGTCAACATGTGACAACAGAACAACATTTTTATGATTTCAAAGGGTTCTACGATTTATATCATCTCTTACTAGGTTTGCACATCTATATCCAAAAATCTAGAACACAATAACAAAACTTAGATATTTGAGGCTAGATATGGCCTTTAATAGAGCAAAATGGAGAACCAGGATTCACGTAGCCGACCCCAATTAATTGAGAAAAGGCTAAAATGATGATGATGAGATATTTGAGGCCAGAGATATCACAAAAAAGAAACAGGATGCCTATATTCCAGTCCATGATCCAGGTGACTAAACTTTAAAGTACATGCATAAGCATATAAAGGGCCATTACAACTTATAACCTACATTTATGTTTGAATCATCATCAAGTTAATCCATCAACAACACAAGGACATGCAACAAAGCACATGTACCACAGGGGGTATGTTCCAACACAAAGTAAAAGAATATATAGAGAGGCATTCATGGATTCATCATATTCCTTTAAATATAAACAATCACTGGCACCAGGTCCATACCACATCCCCACTCCATCGAGCAGATAAATCAAGGGCTTCCCCCTGCAAACCACTGAATTTTGGACGAATAACTGATAAGATTCCATGGCCTTTGCGTTTTTGAAAATTCAGTTGGAGCTCTGCCTGAGATAAGAATGGCAATTTACACTTAACGACCATAAGAATAAGAAATCTTAAGACATCGTATAAATAAAAAACTAAGCATTATGCAACTGAGATTTTGCTCAAAATCTAACTTCATGAAGAGCTACACCCAAACCTTCTGTATAGAACCACGGAGAGAACCAAGCTCCAACTCATCAAGTGGTAAATGTCGTATCTATAAACAAATGTAAATGTTAATCAAACAAGCTAATTAAAAAGGGGCATGAAAAGAAATAGATAGCATGCTTGAGTGGGAACATTAACATTCAAGTTGATAATAAGTAGATCATTAATAAGAGAGATAATAAAAGTAAACCTCCAGGCTCGCGGACTTTTGAGGCACATAACAAACATTAGCTCGAAGTTGCCCCTTTTGAAGGGAAGCCGAAATGATTCTTCCCTTCTGCAGATTCTCTTGTTTAGTAGGCTGTAAAGGACCAATTATCTCAACCGTAAAATTTTCATCCGGCCTGCCAGTGACATCCAGCTGCAAAGGTACCAATCAAGAAAACAAGAATCAAGTTGCATGGCGATAGACAAACCCAGCACTTCTGTGAAATATATAATTTTTTAGGACATAGAAAAAAGCCAACCACAATTGTATCGATCGTGGATAAAGTGACTATGAATGGCACCAGTTACACCTCAGTAGGCAAATGGGTGAAGAAAAAAAGAGCACATGTTCAAGAGCTAATGAAGTCACCAATTTATCACAAAATAACATGCTCGCGATGTGTCTATGCAACAAAGAGCATGAAAGTATGGACCACATGATGGCATATTAAAATTAAACCAACAGTTGCATTCACATTTTATAAGCCATATGGCAAAAGACCAGTTTGACGAAGTATAAGCTCACAAATAAATGCATAACATCATTAAAGAAAATGGACAAAAAAGTACATACAAGACCACCAAGAGATGTAAAATATTCTGTAATACAAAGCGACTGTTTGTAAGACTAGAAGAAAATGTTCTATGATAAACTACCTTCATGCTCTCATGAGATACTTTTAGCGATCCAACTAACTGGGGAGCCAACATCAGTTGATTGAGTCGAATGCCTGATAATGAAATCTCTCCAATAAGACCTGATGCCCATTGTCTCGGTAACTTCTCAAGGTTTGATGCATTTTCATCACCAAGAATAGTTTGGGACACTTCTCCATGAAACTTTACCCTTCCCGTAGCTTTTAGATGCATAGGCCTTGGTGAATCAAAAGGGTCGGGAGAGACCAAATTAAAAAACTCAAACCCACGCATCCGCAAATCAAGTTCAACTCCTTCAATAACAGAAGTGATGGTGCTTCCCATGTTGGAAACATTGTTCTTTAATAGGTAGTCATCAGGATAGGCTGTTCGAACTTTCATTATCAAATCAAAAGCAGGTGACGAAGAACTAATGGCGATGCATTCATGAGAGAGAATGATATCCCCACGTGCTTCATTGAAAGATTCTTCTGCATCGGGTGCAGCCCATTTAATGTCCAATCGCCTGCATTATGAACCCACTGATATAGTGAGAAATTAAGGAAAAATACAAAGAATAAAAATATATACATACATAAGAAAATCAGAGCCTAATGTACCAAGTATCATTTAGGTACTATCCTACTATTAACAATAATAAATTAGTTCAATAGCCAACGGGCACTTGTGAACACCACATAAATTATACATCAGGTCTTGCTAAATAACACAGGTTATTTTTCAATCCAGATAATCTTACGGTTTCAAGAGAGATCCGGAAAGCTTGGTTTCTCCATTTATATATCCAAGTTTAAGGGGCATTAGCTTTATTTCGGCTGGCATATACCGGTCTAGCACCTTGTCAAAGTTCAATTTTCCGGATAAGTCAACATCAAATGCAGAATCATCCATCTCACCCTGTTCGAACCCAAAAGCAATTGTAAGATCCTAACTTAGAATTCTTGCAAAGAAACAGAAAAAATCGAATGAGCACACAAGAAACAAATTAAGATTGGAAGAATAAAATTGTATGATATTTCTCCAAAACAAACAGAGGACTAATCATGTCACAGAATAATGCTTTAACTCAGCAAATATGGCACAGTCATTAAGGACAGTGAGTAAAACATATATATATATATATATATATATATGGAAAACTCTTCCCAACTCCTATAAGTGAAAATGAACAGTGATTTCGCCTACCCTCATCACCATCCAAACGTCATCGTACGGTCACAGGTGTCTGGTAGTGTTTTAATTTTCATTTTTTTTTCTACAAATCCAAATTACTTGAAATTTGGAACGTGTGTACATCTTAGTGAGGCGCACCTAATAAAAATATGAAAAAAATAATTGGTAAAATATAAATTAACCAAAATACCCCCAAAAATTTACGGGGGTATTTTGGTCAATTTATATTTTACGAATTATTTTTTCATATTTTTATTAAGTGCGCCTCACTAAGATGTACATACGCTCCAAATTTCAGATCATTTCAATTAGTAAAAAAAAATTGAAAATTGAAACACTACCGGACAACTGTGACCTTGCGATGAAGTTTGGACGGTGATGAGAGTAGGCGAAATCACTGTTCATTTGCGCCTATAGACGTTTTGTAGTATCTTCCTATATATATATATATATATATCATAAAAAGTATAAGGAAAACATCATTGCAGAAACTGATACACGCAGAGAATAGGAAATACAAAATCAGATTACAGCATACACATAAGACTAAAAACAGGGCGAAGTACATCAAATAGCCTATCAGAGGATTAATATCATCCTTCATCAATATCAGTGTAAAACCTGCTTTTCTATATCATGCACACGAACCAAATATGGTAATTGTCTTGTGAATTTCATTGACATTTTAAAGTTACATGTGTGGCCCATAGGATGCTTAGGCATTTTATTCCATTTGATGCAAAACCTTAAAAAAATGAGGGCACAAGGCATTCTCATACAGATCCAAAAGTCTCAGTAGTAGTAACAGAACTATTTTGGGACCTAGGACATTGAAACTCTCAGCAATGGACCATTCCATAGATGTCAAATAAGAATCTTGAAGCAAGAGAACAACATTTCACCATGTCTGAGAAAAGAAATGGTGAATTTGTCTACAGATCTCATCCATAAACAAGATTGCCTTTCATACATGGATTCAAATTGATATAAGAGGTTAATTTCATGAATTTCCATCATATTATTATTTTTCCACATCAAGGCATCTTCAACTCAAATTTAAAGCACACAAAACCATCGCTAAACACATTCACATGGATCAAGTGCTAAAAAGAAAAAGTCCATTGACCGTAGCAGGTACATGATTCTACAACTTCATTAGAACAAGCATACCGGCAAGTTTTGTGATAAGACTATGAATTGTACAACACAAGAACATTTGTCTCCAAATACAAATTTAAATAGTTCAAAATAAAGGCTGTCTTTATACAAATGCCTTCTGCAAACACACCAGAATAAACCAAATTCTTGGTACCTCAGGACAGATCCATGCATTTCCAGCCCCACGAATTTCACCGCCATCCAAAAGGCTCACTCTAATACCATACAAGTCAGCAATCTGAAAACAAATCAATAAAGCAACATACGAAAAACAAAGGATAATAAATAAGTGAAATTCAAATTTCTTATTTAAAATTTTTTAATATTTCACAGTACAAAAAGACTAAGCTTACACTACTATCAGTGCTGTAAGTAAAGTTAGCAGAAACATAGGAAAATGGAATTCGGTCCATTGCTGCAACAGCCCCAGTATCCTTGTTCCTCAGAACAGCTTCAGATGCAGATGACACAGGATAGTTCATTATTGAATGTGCAGTCCTCCTTGAAATCATTCCACTTCCTACAAACACAGGTGCATCTAGAGGACCTTGACAGTTGAATACAGCTGAAACTGAACCTGCCAACTATAATCAAACAAAAAGAAAATATAATTATGTCTACCTAGGTAAACCAAGCTAAATTTACATCTATATGCAGACTGTAGATTCAACAAGAGAAATCACTCCAAGTGTTTCAAACTATTAGCTCAAGATACATTTCACAGATAGGGGGAAAAAAAAACACCAGAGTTACAGAGCACAAGAACCTCAGGGAGAATAAGAAACCAACACAACCCTTCACATCATAATTGGGGAAAACCATATGGAAGTTTTTAATGGATAATATATGCACGCGCACGTGCGTGTGCGCATGCACGCACACACACACAGTGGGAGATCTAATCTTAAAACAATAAGCTATTTTTTGGATAAGTGACAAAATTTTATGGAAGGTTATAGTTTCAAAGTTACAAGAAAGGAGCTGGAGAGCCACTGTGGTGGCATGAAGTCCTGTACTCTTATGCCATGTCTAACAAACAACATATTAAACAGCTTATCTTCCAAACAAATCGACAAAAGAGGAACATTAATAGACAATGACGAGTTTATAAAGTACATATGTTTCTTTTAAAAAATGAACAAAACCCAAAGGAAAAAGTTTATATAAGCTTGCAACCTTAAAATGTAGAATTACAGATGCACCTCAAAAATCCATCGAAAAAGGTTCTTTTAATGTTGAAACATCCTCTAAGTGATCATCTCGACATCGAGATGTATGAATATGACAAAAAAACAGTTTTTGAGTCTCAGAAATAGCGCATCTTGCAACACATTATCTAGACCATCCATTTTCGAGATTTTCATATGATTATAGATCTACTTGATTTTAACCATTTTTGGAGTTTAAAATTTTATAATTGGAGATGAAAATAAATTTTAAGATAATCCTAAGAAATTTATACACCAAAATTACATGTTATGATAAAATTTGGAGGTGCGCCTTAATTGGATTGTTTAAGGTTGCAACCTTATAGAAACCACACCCAAACCCCAAAAGATCCTTAATTTCCATTTAAGATCCTACAATCTGTGGATTTGGCATCCCTTCTTAGCTTCATAACAAGATTTGAGTGGAATACGTGATGAAACATTAGTACGTCATAACCACCAAGTAAAATATAAATGGTTCTTTCAGCTGCACCATTTTGTTGTAGTGTACTTTCAGAGAGATATTTTTGAAATTTATTAGGCATTTACTTCCTTTTAAAGAAAAGTGTGGGACTTGATCCCACAACCCAAGAGTTGGACAAAGAGATTCAATTCCAAAAGAGATGTTTCCGGTATAACTAGGCAAAGAAAGAATCTCAGAACTATGCTCTCCGAAAAACATGTATTTATCAAGAAGAAACTCAAATAAAGCTATACCAAAAAAAAAAAAGAGCGAGAGAGAGAGAGAGAGACCTTTTAGAAGAACAACACTGCCCCTTTCCAAAGAGAAGGAATTCTAATTGATGTGGAGCACTACCTACAGGATCACTTTCAATTGAGGGAGCTAGAAAAGTTTCAATTTCTTTAGATCTTAGAGAAATGATGAAAATACAAAGGAAAGCAAGTACATCTTATGATGGTCCTTATCACAGCTCTTATGTTACGAAATAACATTAATTATTGGCTAAAAGCGAAGTATCACAGGAATAATGAACGGTCCTGCAAATTCATTGCACAAGAAAAATTAATATCATCAAATATCATACCGGGAAAATAAATGGCTTCATTTTGAAAGTCTTCATTAGAGCATTCACTTCAACACATGGGACCTGCAAAAAAGCACATTAAAGAGCACATAATTTCCCATATAGAAAATCTTAGGGGCCTGTTTGGGTTGCAAAGAAACCAATGAGAGCGTGACTTCATACACAGGGCCCCATTCTAAGCAACATATGGTGCAGGATGATAGCTAAAGGATGTTGGCCCTGCTTGTATGGGAAAACCCCCACTGACTAGCAGTGGATGCAAACCTACCAAAATGAGTTTTGCCTCCATTACTAACAAGGCAGTTTGGTGCCTAACTATCGACAATATACACATAGGCCCTTAAGAAAGAAAATTAGCTAAACAAAGATACCAAATGAGAGGAAATTTCAGAGATTGTTAATATCCTTAAGCATGTGTCTAGCTCCTACAAAAGGAATACATTTGGACTCCATATCATGACATGCCTTGAGATCTCAGTCCTGCATTACCTGAGGCCTCCAAACGCTGAAGTGATTGAAAAGCCCAGATGAAAATCTCCAGTTTATTTTATTTGAGAACAAATTTAAGTTGTTTATATTACAAGGAACACTCAATCTAAACAATTTATAAGGATCATCATTTTCATCATAGTTCTTTCAAATGCAAAAATCATGACTAAGGCACAATGACAGAGGATTAAGCATCCAAGACTTGATTTATCAGGGGACACCATTCCTCAATAAGAATTATCGACAAACAAGGCCTGGCCAAAGGTTTTCCAAATAGGTGTAGGAAATCAAGCAGGTGCTTAATATGGTACTTCGAAAACCTAATGATAAAGTAGGCCATATATTTGCTATAGGTAATGGGGGAGCATGGTATTAAAGATTTTATCTCCATCAGAACAATGATAATTATTTCCCCAAAAAAAGGTGAAAAATATAGAGCTTTGGGAGAAGCATCTCAATTAAAAAATGCTTATGGGTAACAAAGACAAAAATACTATAGGAAACTTAATATCATTATAAGAAACTTATGAAAGTGCAATGGAAGTTGAAAGCACAAGAAGTAACACTGATCGATAATACACAGTTACCATGTATGTTGATTAGTAGACCTTAACTCAACTGAGAGGGTTGGGAGGATTTACATGGTTCTGGGCACTGTAACAATTTTTCACGTACCCTACAAAAAGCACTTGACGAACAATTCAAAAAGGTGAGCTCAAGAACATCTATTCATATATCTAACATGAACCCAAATACATCTATTCATCACAACAATACACAGGTGATGGTACACCATATTTTTTCCATCGCGACATTCCTAGGGTCAAGAGAATGTCTGCAAAAAAAGAGGCCTAAGTCGATACAACTAACACCAAAAATGGAGTTAAGAAAAATTGTACAATGTTAGCCTATAGGGTAAGCAGACTTGTACAATGTTTGCCTATAGGTTAATGCAATGTTTCAGAAATCGACTCTGGCCAAGTACTTGCCACAGGCCCGAGGTAAGATACTTGGGCAAGTCCAAGTGGACTTGCCTAAGACAAGCCCCATATCTTATAGGCACAAGAAAAACAAGAAAAAATGGAGAAAACTGCTGAAAAAATAAGACAAATCAAGATTAATATAGAAGATGAAAATTTTCCCAAAAAAAGATTCGTCAGCCCCAAAAAATATGGGGTATGGAAAGTACTGTTTTCTCATAAAAAATAAAAGCGAAACTTTTTTTTGCGTAGTTCTGGTTCAGCGGGGATGGAGTCCCCTACCCATGACAGGAATGGAACTCAAGACTACCCTGATCATCAAGCCTTGAGCCCATTCCTAAAATAAATAAATAAAAAGTGATCTTCCAAGCCAAAAAATCTCATTTTCCAGCCATTAATCAAACAAACCAGTATGGGGTTATGGGATTCAGTCATGATCAAATTGAACCTAGTTTCAAAAGATTTGGGTAAAAATAAGGGAGAAATCGATGGAATGGCAAATAGATTAGGGTTCGTTCTGAAAAACTGTTTTCTCACAAGAACTGAGATTTTCTAGACTAGATCTCTCGATATCTAGACTTTGATCGAACAAATAAGAATAAGGATCTTGTGGAGGGCTGAATCAAGAACAAATCGCGCCAGGTTTACTTTGAATGAAAAACGAAAGAGAAATCCATGCATAGACTAACTAGTTAACAAAAACCGCTATTTTTCACCAATAACTTGATGAATAAATCCCTAAATCACAAGTTCTGGTCCTAATCGATTGAAGATAGATTGATTTAGATGAAGAAAAGGGAATGTTATATGCCTAGTAGTAAAAACTTTTGATCAAATTCTATCAAAACTTTTGATAAAAATCACTTGTAGTGTACACCTACCTATGTACACTAGACTCGTCCCATACTCACCTCGCCCATAGGCCAAGACCGAGTAACGCAGTCGAGTCCATGTGGACTCGGCTGAGTCCCGAAATACCGAGCTAACATAGTCATTCTTCATATACGTACATATATACATACATACACACACATATATAGACATATAT